GGGAAGGAAAACCTACAGTACCATCTCCTCCACAGCAAAGGACGCGAAAATTTGAAATATCTTTATAAAACTGCAACCTAAATATATATATATATATAAAGATATATTTATAGTATCAAATTAATCAATTATTGCAATTTATAACAAAAATCTCCAGCTTTTCAATGATTAATTAACATTTGTTTTATTAAATATTTGAATAGAGTAAATTGCTTTTAATGGGTTTGAATGATATTATATATATATGCATATTATTTCTGTTAATTTTAATGATTAAATTATTTAGATTGATTAATTTAAATGAATTGATTGTAGATTAGTGTACAGGATCTGTATTATTTATTACTATTAGTTCACTATGACTGTAATCTATTAATAGGACTTATTGCACTGACCTCTGTTTTCAAATATAAGATATTTTATTAGTCTGTAGGTTTAAAGAAAACTTTATTTGCACCTTTGCAGTAAATTAATAATAATTAAATAAAGGACAGTAAGCATTAATTAACAAAGGATCTCTATTAAATCATATATTATGTTGTTTTGTGCTTCTACAGATTTTGTACTATTACCTATTTACATCAAATTTTTACAGTAGAACTTATCTAAAATGGAAGCTAAACATAACAGAAACCTTCCTAAACCAAAAAATTTTTGGAACAGAGTGATTTTCTATGTTAAATATTACAATAAGTTTGTATTGTATTTATACATTTATCGTTGGGATGTGGAGGCTGATTTTACCAATTGATGCTTTTGGCTGATACCAATAGTTCATACAAAATGCCAGTCAAGAATATTTTTCTTATATAAAAATATATATATCATGTTAAAATAACATTTTGACATTTTTAAATTTGACAATTAATCAAAAAATAAATTATAATTTTTTTGACTAATTAAAAAAACATGTTTTAGTATTTACTTGATAGTGAAGGAGTTGAAAACAGAGCTAAGTATTACTTTAAAGTTTTTACTTGCAGAAATCATCATAAAAGTTATAAATATAATAAAAGCAAATAAAAATATATTTCAAATGACTGTTAGTTAAACCTTTAGAAATTTGAAAAGATAGTAGTTTAATGATATAGTCAGATATAATGGACTCTTGATATAGTGAGCAGTTTTATTGGTGTTATTATTCTTTATGTTTATAATGAATGATTTAGTTCAATCCTTTGAGAGTTAACTACATCTTCAGTCCAGTGTATATTTAAGTTGAATATTACCTAGAAAACAAATTGCTTTTTAATTGTTTAGTGAATTTTAAAAATTATTCTTAAAAATAGATATTTTGATTCATTCTGTTTTGGCAACTGAAATTATAACTTCAAAATATTAATTTCTTTATATGATAAAATAAAATTTTATATTAATTATGATTCATATTAAGCTAAAAAATGAAATTGAAAGTATTCCAGAATATTTGATGAAAAGTTGTTTTTCTGATAAAATTTGAAACATTTCATATTTTAAATTTCTTAAAATGATAGGCAATTACAAAAATATTTACTTTTTAGGATTCGGGATTGATTGTAAATAGAAAAAGAATGAGCACAAGTACTCAGCGGGCTTATAGGCATGGAGAACTAAAGCATTTAAAAGATTTAAAACGCAGTTTTCATCATGCACCAAGATCTTCCAAAATGTTAAAATTAGATAGTGAATTTGTTATAGAAAATGAAAATGATGATAATGATGAAATTGATATTAAAGATATAGAATTTCAGATATCAAATGACAAATTACAAATTAAGGTATGTACTATAATAACATGCAATCATTTATTAAATAATCTATTATTACTTCAGTTTAATAANTATTTTATATAATATTTTACAGTATTTGATGATTACTAAAATATTTTTGTTTTTATTTTATATAATGCTATATGTTTATTGTAATGGGTGCATTTTCTGTAAAGTCACTTAAAGTGATTTTGTTAAAAGATAGTTTGACTTCAAAATTCAAGATGATTGTTACAAGTGATGAAGTATATCATGTATAATTTTGAACCATTTCTGAGGGAACATTTGTTTTAAAGAAAAAAGAATGTTTATGAACTGAAAAGTAGTATTAGTAATAGAGCTGTTTTCTTTGAAAGTATAAATTACTTAAAATTACATCCAGCAGCATAACTAAAGTAGCTTTATCTAGCAATGCACCCAATCTAAATTTACAATATATAATTAAAATTTTTTAATGTAAGTTTGCAAAACAGTTATATGTAAAATTCTGTCACTTTCTTTTTTCAATATGCTATAAGTAAAATCCAATTTTTGAAATTTCAGCAAAAAGTGTTTAACTTATTGCTGGAATTTTAGTCTAAATTTTACTTGCGTCATTTCTCAAGTTGTGCACTATAATATTCAACATTATATTTATATAATTTTTCAAGATTTCCATAGTCATTAATAATTCTTAAAAGTCCTTAAAAAAGTGCTTAATGCTTTTTGTGTTGCTTTAAAAGTACTTATTTTTCTATTACTGACTTTAAAACAATTATGGAAAAATATTTATTTACAAAAATGTTTTTCTGATTACCAATTAGAAACCAGATAACAGAATACAGTCATGATTTCTTGGTGTAGAACTGGGCAATTTAGTAATGAGTTTTCATGGATTGAATCCAAAAAAGAATTGCCAGAATCCGTTACTTTGTAAATGATACATCAATGATATGAATCATATGTAGAAATATTCTACTCAAGAATGTTTTGATTGTTTTTAATTTTTAATAAATTTAATGAAAAAATTCATTTTTATAAAATTATTAAATTTATCTTAATAAAAAATTTTTCTCAGGAACGACTTTATGTAAATACTAGCTGCAAGGACCTGCTTCGCTGGGTTTTTATTTGTTCGTACATTTGTATGTAATATAGTTTATTTTATATATATAAAAGACTGTTTTTCTAAGTAATCTAGAATCTAGCTGCAAGGACCTGCTTCGCTGGGTTTTTAAAAAGTAACAATAGTGAAGATTAAGATAATTACATTATAGCCAATCTTACCTGTTTTCACAGAATGCAAGAATTAGGCCTCCAGTTTCCAGACGTTTCCAGAGAATTTTTACATGAGCATAAAAATATGTTCGATTTCCCGCAAAAGCGCAAAAACCGCCTGTAAATCTTGCATGCCGCTTTATATTAACACTTCCTGGTCCCGATTCTATTTCTGAACGTCTCCTGTTCACGTCCAGTCAAACGAACTATTTTCAACGTTTCTGGAACGTTTACGATCGTTCTATAATCGAACCAATATTCGAATTTTATGTTCGAATTTAATTCGAACA